GTCATCTCTTATTTTTCTGATATTACTGACATAATTTCATTGAAAGTTGTTACCAGAATAATGCTTCTTGGAATAGTGTGTGTTCTAGATGAAGTTGATGATTGATTCTAAAATTAATTACTTTATACTTTTTTCTGATGATTTCCAGCTAAAGGCCTTGGGGATTGATAATATCTTGGGCTTTGACTGGCCAGCATCTCCATCTGCTGAAGCAATGATCCGAGCACTAGAAGTTCTCTACTCACTTGGTATATTGGATGATGATGCTAAGCTGACTTCACCAACTGGATTTCAAGTTGCTGAGATTCCACTTGTAAATTTCTCTTACGAAAAAATCATGTTTGATTAATTTGTTAAATGCTTCATCTCTGTTTATAGAATAATAAAGACTCGTTTTATCACCATGGACCCAGGGTTAGTTTAAGTACACTGGACACTTAGAGTTGTTTGTTGATCAGGATAAAGAAAATGATACAATAAGGTAATCATATCCAATATTTTAGTTTGAGCTGACAGGATAGGGTAACCTTATGCTATCATGTTCATTAGAGGTGTCAAAATGAGTTCCAACTCGTAAGCCAACCTGGTTCATCGTAGGTTTGAAAAAAATTCTATTATTTTAAATATGGGTCAAACTGAACCCCACGGTTAAATGGATTTGCACCGGGTTAAAGGTGGGTTGACCTGTAATCCACCACCAAGAACCCTTTATTAATCTTTTACCATATTTTCATAAGTTTTTTATTATAATTATTTACCACTAATTATGTAGGTTGACAATTTGATCCTTTTAAATACTATACTATGCTAGAATGTTGTTTAATAATATTTGAATAATTTAGATGTTTAATTTATTTTTTTGACAAGTTATGTAGGTTGACATTTTAATTTTCAACTACTATCTTTGTAATAATGTTTGGTGAAACCGGTGAACACTTTGTTTATACTGCTATAAAAATGTAAATCAAGTTAATTCAATTTTATTACACTACAATAAATATATAAAATAAATAAGAAGAACAAAATATTTTTAAGTGAGTCAACCCACCAACTCACCAACCTGTGATGGGTTAAGTTGACTTAATTTTAACTCAACTCACCAACCTGTGATGGGTTAAGTTAACTTATTTTTAACTCAATCCATAGTGAGCTAACCCATGTGAGTCGGGTTGACTCACTTCGACACCCTTAATTAGTCCAAATATTGGGGGTGGGGATAGCTGGGTTAAGAGTAGAATAAGTTCATAGCATATCCAGATATATTTCTTACAATTTCACTTAGGTGTGTTTAATGGGATGTAATCCTTGCTAGGATCCGATGGTCTCAAAAATGATAATAGCTTCCAGTCAACTTGGGTGTTCAGAGGAGATAATCACCATTGCTGCTGTTCTTTCCGTCCAAGTAAATCTTTTTGCCCTAGTCATTGCTATTGTTTTGTAAACAAATTTAATACATTTTTGTTAAAATCTTTTATTTTTTTGCTGAAGTTGGGAAATGTTAAAATGAAATCTATCTGTATATCATCTCAAAAGTATAGTTAAACATTAATGTATAGAGTAGTTGACCTTAATTTCAAAAATCTATGTATATAGTCCATCTGGATCTCAGGGAGAGGGATACAAAAGGAATCTGATGAAGCAAAATTGAGATTTGCTGCTGCGGAGGTAATTTAACTTAAGTTTTCCCCACTCTTGCTGTTTATAGCCATAATTTCCTTTACGTTGTTATGTGCTAAACTTCTTATGATTCTTCATTAAACTCCTCATTCATTGTGTAACATGATTGTTTTTCTGTAACAATATGATGGATGAGCTATATCTTTTATTCATATATTTATATCTTTTGATAATTGGTACAATTACAGGGTGACCATGTAACGTTCCTTAATGTATACAAGGGGTTTCATCAATCTGGTAAATCTTCACAGTGGTGTCACAAGAACTATGTAAACTATCATGCCATGGTGTGTATGTTTAGCAATTTTTCACAATATAGTCCATGCACTCGTTTCCTTTCCAATATTGATGTTGACATGGCTGCTTAAATTTCACAGAGAAAGGTTCTTGAAGTTAGAGAGCAACTCAAAAGAATTGCAAAGAGGATAGGACTAGTCTTGAAATCTTGTGAGAGTGATATGCAGGTTGGTTTTCTTCTTTTATACTTATGGTTTTGATTATTTTAAAAAAGACTGGATTCAATATTCTCTTGATTTATTGTCTGTTGGGTGGTCAAATAGTCAAATTTAATGAAATCTCTGCCCTAGTGTAATCATTATTTCATTGATCCTGTTTCATTATTTGGTTTTCCACCCTATTACATCAAGGACTTGTTAAAAAATTGCTTATGTATAAGTTGTTTTAATAATTGAAAGAAAAATAAGGGTAAACTTTTTTCTATTGAACCATAAGTTGCTTTCATAAGCTACCATTGAGAACTGTTGAAACAAGCTAAAAACAACTTTTCATAAACACGTACGCAAGTCCATGTCATGAGATAACTCCAGAAGAGAAGATTTAATTATGTTGTTGCATTTACTTTTACAGTTAGTGAGAAAAGCTGTCATCGCCGGGTTTTTTGCAAATGCGTGTCATCTAGAGGTGAGATATTTCTTGGCACAATAAAATGCATGATTTTATCATTCATTTCTTTATATATATTAGCAAATTTTGCCACAAATTGTTGTAAAACAGATAATTTAACTTTCCTTAAATTTTATGTTTATGTAAGGCATACAGTCATGATGGGATGTATAAGACGTTAAGAGGATCACAGGAGGTTTATATTCACCCGTCGTCAGTGCTATTCAGGTCCGTACAAATTCTATGAACGTTATGTATGTGCAGGTTTTATTTAGACTGTAAAAGTTGTGAAATATTCAAATCCCAATCCAATAGTCTCTACTGTAACGTGATTTTTATACATATCATTTTCCTTTTTCGGTAGTAATGAAAGATCAATATCTAAACACACTTTGTTATTTTTGCAGAGTAAATCCAAAATGGGTTATTTACCATTCTCTTGTATCAACTGATCGACAATACATGCGTAATGTCTTAACTATAGACCCCTCGTGTTTAATGGATGCTGCTCCTCACTTCTACAAGTTGCAACAATCTAATCATCTCCTTTTTTAATTGATTTCTGTTTTGCACACTCAACGTGTTTGAGATGAAGGAAAGAAACGTTTATGTATGGAGTGTTTTAGTTCATGTAGGATACATTAACCACTATATACGAAGTTTTGCTTCAAGTTAATGAATGAGGTTTCAGTTCAGGTAGGACACATTAGGATTTTCATTACTTGATGTAAATGTGATATCTTCAAGTTTATTTGAACACGTGATATTTATTAATTATTATGTTGAGTAGAGTTTAGTGTTCACTAATTATAGAGATTATTCTTGATTTTAAAACTAGTATCAAGGAAATATTCAAATTATTTTATTTTAATTTAAATTGTAATTCAATTATTTGGATTTGGGTCTATAAAACCCAAACCATTATTTTAAGATATAGATTTGAATTTATAATAAATTATATAATTTAGTATTAGTAATATTATAGGAGTAAAAATATGGATTTATAGATTTTTTTTCCGTTGTCTGTATGTGATAATAAAAAAAGAACATGATATATATATATGGAGGGTTTAAATTTAAGGTTTTAATTTATTTTTATCATAATTAAAGTAAATTTATTTGACTAAATTCAATTTCCCATTGTTCAAAAAAAATTATTTAATTATATTTTGAATAATTTATTATTTCATTCAAGTTTTCTGTATTATATTTATAATTAATTTTTTGAGATATTTGTTAGAAGTATTATTTAAGTCAAAATATAATAAAAAACTTTTACATTCAAGTATAGGTTTTTTTACTAATTTATTCAAATGTTATATAAAAATTTATCAAATAGTCAAATAGTAGATTTGTCAACTGGCACATTGATGTATGAATAAACTGATATTTAGATTACATGATAGTATATTCATCATAACAATTATTGAGTTTAACGGTCATCTGATAGATTACCGTTATATAATTTGTTTAAAAACTGTTATAAAAAAATATACCTTTCAAATATATAAGATTTTCTCTTTGTATACATTATTGTGATTTAAAATATATAACAGTAATGGTTAGAATAAAATGATTTAATATTATTATTGTTAATTGTTACAAGTTTTAGTTTTCTTTATAACTATATAATTGAAACAATTCTACTTCAAACCTTTGTATTCACACAAATAGTGGAGAATTTTAACCGAATGTAGTAAGATAGGACTTTGTTCCTTAAATGTAAAAAATATCAATTATTTGAGAATGTAGATGAAGATTCAAAAATTAGTATAGAGAAAAATTATTAGGTATAAAATTTCCACCATAAAAGGGCTTAATATTCAGTTATGGTAATTTGAAACACATGTTGCATTGCCCCCACCTCCTCGTCTTCTATCCCTGTAACCCCATCCCCTATTTTTGTTCTATTATTATAATACGGCAATAATGAAGATAAAAACATCACTAAAAATAATAGTTATATTAATAAAATCATAATAATATAAAAGGATAGTAATATTTGTACTAGTGCACTTGTTCATAGACATGTATTGGCATTTACTGTAGTCTCAGATTGTTGAACTCTGTAAAGTTATGTACCATGTCAGAGTCAAGTCCACTAAATTTTGAGAAGACTTTACAAACCCTACTGCTTCAAACACACTCTACCTATCCAAATTCAATTTCTTCTTCCAACTTTTTAGACCTTCCTTTCTGTAGAAAGCTGGGTTCTTTCATAAACTGACACCATAGTGGAATTCGTCAAGTTACACAAATCAATTCATTGATAATGTCATCAACTCTTTCTGATGCTCATATACAGAGCGCAAATACTTATGTTTTTCATTAAGAATGACTTGTGTAAAAATAATTTATATCAAAAACTATATAAAAATACAAAACACACGTGAACATCCAAACCAAAAATTCAACCATGTGAGCACAAGGTATTATTTAAATTTCCAAAACTCTTCTTTAAACTTTCATTTTGAAGTAACTTCTTAAGCTACAATTTCGACAAACATAACTTAAACGACTGTAACGTCAAAAAGACTGAACAACTGAAATTAAGTTAAATGAAAATTCCATGCAAAGCAGCATCTCTTGATTTTATGAATCAAACGGTATGCATAGTCTTCCACGCAAACTATCTAATGAAAATCCTATGACAAGTATGCATATCCCGGGTAAATTCTTCTCCAACCATTACCCGGAAACTGTTCTCTTTTCTTCACTTGATGCTATTGTTGGACTCAAACTGAAAAACTGGCGCATACTCATCTGAGCTTGCTAGTCTTTGAGATTTGCAAACACAAATTCAGAGCTTCAAGTTCAGATCAATGCCAAATCTTCCTGCTTCACGTCCCCCAAGATTTTCCCCTCGCATTTTGTCTGTCATCTCTGAGTCCTCCACTTCTAAGAAGTTATAGAAAGGTCTACGATTTGGTTCGCTTGATTCTGAATGTTGGCATGAGTCTAGTTTATCCTTAAAAAGAGAAGCAACCATATTCACCAAGCCAAACAAAAGATTAAATAATATTGGACATTCTAAAATAGCTTGCAACTTACTTCACAAACATGGCCGGGTAGCGCATTCCCCTTTGAAATAACACCTGAAAACAAATGCATGGGAGGTGAAGGAACTTCAGGAGTTACAACTGGAGGGAAATTTGCATGACCAGGAACTGTCATGTCAGAATTGAACCTTGTGTTACTAAGCTCCAAAGTGCTGCCCCATTTGGCATCCCTGAGAAAGACAAGAGTTGGTAAGACAACAAGATAACCTAAGAATTTTGGCAAAAGCAGGGGATGACATAAGGAGTCATTACTTATAGCACTCCTTGGTGGAATTGAAACCACTGGCACCATGACTATCATTTATGGAGGATTGATGATGTCTATTGTAATATGAAAAACTTGGAAGAACATGGAAGTTCGATGGCGGAATCAGAGAGTTTTCCAGGGTTGAAGAGTGAGATCGCTTCATGCCAACCTACAAAACATATTGGATGTCAACATAAAAGTGCAATATTCTGATTACATCTGAGGTGAACTGAGAAATCCTCACTTTGCAGCATTGTTACATGCATTCCCTATATAAAATTAAATTTCATTCATGATAGCCGATCGGAACGTATATCATGATGTCAAAAGGTATACAACTTCTTTATTTTCAAGAGTTTATCATAAAAGTACTTATCTATGAATTGCTCTTACAACAAAAAAGAAAAAACATGCTTATGACCTCAATAGCTTATAAATAAGCTCCACATGCACCAAATTACTGCCATAAGAAATCTGCTTTCCAGATCTGTCAAAATTTATGCATCATGCTTGATAAAGCCATGCAAATAAAATTTTAGCAATTTGTCAAATATTCTGAAAAACTCAAAAGTAAGAAAGCAATCAAGCTAGGACTCATACCATATACTGTGAAATTCAACTTTTAATCAATTTCACGTCTATTTACTGATTGAGGCCATCTAAAGTACTCTATAAACAACCCAACATGTGTGATTTTAAATGTTTTTCACTCAAGTTCAACGCCCAATCCACTGTGAGTAGAATTGACGGCATCCGAAAGCAAAAATAATGTACAACTAATGCAAGCATAATCTGGTAGATAAAACCGAGTTATCCAGATACAAAAATTGAAGGTAAATGACTCCAGTCTATTATTTTGTTTATAATTTAATATAAATGTTGCTTACTAGAAATGATTACTTTTTGTTCTTCTGGCACTCTAGACATGTAATTGTAACACAAACTTTGGTTTGAAGGAAGCTCTGGTTGATTTTGAGGGCCGATTGTTGAGGTCCCACGGGGATTTGTCTGCATAGAAATCAAAAGCATATCCTGTGAGAATTTACTTACACACACATATATATAAAATGACAAAAAAAGATATAAAGAAGGCCTGAGAAAGTAAAAATTTACCATAGAAGTAATAGGTGCAGAGTAGTGATTGTTTATGTGCTGATTTTTTGGATAAGGCCAGTCACCAGATAAATTCCTGGAAGGGGAACTGGCAGAATCATATCGATTTCCATCAATCGGTTCATTCATGTTCAAATTAGACTTACATGAATTAAGATTCAAGGGAAAGAATTCTTTTTCAGGAGAAACAAGACCAGATCCACCACTTCTTTCTAGTGATCCACATTTACCGTACATAGATGTACTGGCTGGGAGTGTAGTGGGACCTAAATGATCAAATATTGGGGCAGAAGAAACATTAGTAGCCAAATTGCTTGAGAGAGAAGAAGGTGGAGTAGCTTTTGTTGTAGTCGAAGGTTGCAATGGATGGAAGTTTAAAGACGAAGAAGCACGAGACACAAAAGATGGAAATCCCTCTGAATCTCCCTTTTCAGTAGTTATGTCTACGCCTCCTTGCTCTCTCAGGATCTTCTCAAGTTCGGCCACACCAGGTCCTCTTTTTGGCACTCTGGGACGTTTCTGCGGTTTCTTTAAACCAGAACTCCAGATGCTACTAACAACATTCACACCAGTCCCACATCCACAAACACTGTTGCAAGAATTGCTGCACATATTCAACTTCTATATGGATTATGCACTGCCTCTGTCTTCTCTCCTCCTACTGCAATTTCAGCCATGCAAATGCATCTGATCTCATAATGCGAAATCCGAACCAATCAAAATATATTTAAACACATTTGAGAGATATAGAGAATTCAAAAAAGATCCAAATCATCCATGCAAGGATCATAGAATATAATCCACAAAGGGCAAATAAAAAATATTCATTGAAGAACAGATAGCGATACACATGGAAAGAAAATCTCGAGTATACAGGAAATGTGGTTACTACCTTGGGGTGCAATAATTAAGAACAGTAAACATTTTCGTCGTCTTCAAAAGGAAAATCTTAGTATACAGTTAGTAATGGCTAAAGATGTTTCCGGATTTTCTCATACCTTTTGAATGTCGAAGAGAAAACAAATTTGAAAGCGAGGAAATCCATGCATTCGTCAAAATCTTTCTTGCATTCTCGGTTTCCTCGCTCTTGTTTTTCTCCCTTACTCTGCTTTGTCTTTTTAACAGGAAAGTTAAGCTTTTGGGGATTTTTCAGTGAAATTTCTAGTACTGCTAAATGCACGTAAAAACCTCACTTTGCTGTATTTTTCATAGTTCGTTATTGCGTGCAATTTATAGTTTTTTTTCATGGACCTTTCTCATAATTGTTTCCTTCTTTGTCAGATAAACTTCCCATTTGATTTTTAATTTTATTTATTCAGCTAAGATTTCAAGTTTCTGTTCAGTATTACCGTGATTACCATACTAATTAAATCTTTAAAACACTAATCCTAAAAAAGTTCAAATATAATCAATCAATAGTCACAGGCTTTTTATTAACTTCAGATCTTGCAGTAACTAACTTCAGATCTTGATTATACTTTATTCTCTCAAATTTTCCGTAATTTTTTTCTTTAAATTTAGATTTAACCTTTTCAGTTATGGGATTTAAGAAAATCTTTATTTATCCTCTTCGAAACAAACATTATTTCTTAATATTATAATAAGGAAACGCACAGGGTGTTTGGTAATAATATTTAAAAGTAAAGTAATTTGTCAAAGAATTATTAATTATTATAGGATGTAAGGAAAGTATTTAAAGACGTTTTATTACCAAAAGATACCTATTTTTATTGCTAAATATTTTCTAGATACTGCGAAAATAATGCCAAAAATATTTAACTGATATGTTATTAGATTTGGCTGATTGAAAAATATACAAAGTATAAATAACAGATTGATCAGAAAGTTAATAGTTAAGATCTTAAAATTCAATTGATATATTTTTCATATGCTCATATATTTGGTTATAATTTCATGTATGGATTTTCTTCTACACATAGCTAATATTCGAATGAACTGTTATTATTACATTTTGTTTTATAAATTCTATAAGTTTTCTTTTAATTTAAAAAAATCGCGTAATCAAATAATAAATGCTATGTGAAATATACAAAAAAAATATTACTAATTAATATCTTTCTAGATTTTACTCATTAAAAAGTATAATTTCAGTAGAAAATGTAAAAGTAAAAATAAGTTATATACTATATATGATTTTTTAAACCAAATAAATAACAATTCTAATTGTTACTAATAGTTGACGCAAATCCTCTTCAAAACCTTCTTTTCTAGCAAAATTAATACTTTTTCTGTATTTATAATTTGTCTAGAGTTTTGTTTTGTACAACTTTTGGTTAGTTTTCTTGCTTTTTTGTTATTTTTTTATTTTTAAAATAATATTAGTTTGAAAACGAAATTTAAAGAAATTTATTTCAAAATTAAATTGAGTTAAAATTTCTATTATTAATTTAGTTTTAAATATTTTTAAAATTTATAAATATATTAGTAAGATAAAGTTTGTTTCAATAATTAAATATATTTATTATTGATTAGTATATTATTGTGAGAGAGTGAGTAGTGTATATTTGTATAATTGTATAAATATAAATACCGTATAGTTTAATTACATATGTAATTCTCAAGGTCATCCATATTAGTTAATTCTAAAAATAAAGTTTTCAAACTATCTATGTTAAATCAACAGCGATTATTTGCTTTCAAAATTCTGCGAGTTCTTTTCTTTACTTCGAATAGTTCGTGTAACCAATATGTAAAATAAAATACTAAAGTTACTAATATATTTCTAAATTTGCCTCAGAAAAATATAAATTTTGAAGGGTAAAGTATAAATAATAATAATTTATTATAAAAATAATAGTTAAGATCTTAACAATCACTTAATATATGGTATAGGTGAATATAATTCATTATAATTTTAACTATGTGATATTGAACTCAAACGTTATTATTACTTTTGGTTTTCTAAATTCTGTGAGTTATGTTTTAATTTAGCTAATAAAATAATAAATTTATGTGGAAAATATATTAAAACCATTATTAATTAACATCTTCCTAGATCGGTTCATTAAGAAATATATCTTCAGGACAAAAATATAAAAATAATAATAATTAATTCGAAAAGGTTTAAATACTAACAATCACTTTATATAATTTATACGAGGATATACTTTTAATAATCTAAATATCAATATTTAAATCAATTTATTGACATTGTTTCTAAATTATTTTAGATTCGTGTTATTTAATTGATTTCACGTAATCAGATAATAAAAGTTGTGAAAAAAATAGAAATATTTTACGTATATCCTTCTAGATTTGACTCATGAAAAGTACATTTAAAGTAAAATATAAATAAAAAAATCGATGAAAAAAAATTAATAATGAAAGATCTAACTATCACTCTAATAATTAGAAAAACTATTTTAAACAATAATATATTTATATGCCATTATTTCAGAATTTTTTAAAAGTTCTTGTGAAAGTATTTTAAGAGTTGTTATAATTTTTATTAAGTAAGTAATTCTAGAAAATAAAATAAAATATTTTCCTATAAGTTAAAATTAATTTATATACAAAAAATGAAAAATAAAAATTATAAGAAAAATTTTCTACAAAAGTTAACTTATGTATAATTTTTTCCCAATTTTAACTTAAAATTAAGGCCTAAACTACATATTAGTAATCATTTAAATTTCTTCTTTATTTTTTATTTTATTCAAATATATTTTTTAATTTAAATGCAACAACTGGTTAAAAAATTTATTTATCAACTACCTCAGTTCAAAGTGCGTGTATATTTGATATTTTACCTATTTATTTTTTAATCCATTATTTGTTATTTTTGGTCTCTTAAGTATGGTTAGTGGGTAGGCTATAATAATAGGTGAAAAGTAAGATATAGGATGTAACTTCATTAAGAAAGTTGTGTAATCTTCAATCTCGTAGCCCTAAAATCTTGCATCTTTAAAGCAATAATAGTTTTAAATACCACACAAAGTAACTCATCTAGGTCGCAAAACCATCTTTAAATTAACCTAATAATGATGCTTTTTTCTATTTAAGCAAAATCTCTATAAAAATCCATTCTAAGAATAATATATATGTATGTAATTTGAGAAATTTTTGCAAGAAAGATACGACATGGATGAAATCTTCCCTCATTATTTAAAGATCATTCTCGTTTTATCATAATTAATAACCCTTATTTATTTGTAAAAGAAATACAATTATGGATGAAGTTCTCTTTGAAAAATATTAAAATAGTATCCATTGATACCTCCAAATGAAGTTAAATTGTGGTCTTGCTCTAAATCTGATGTACAAGTTAAGGAATTGTCATTTTCATTATCTTCTCATATACATGTGATAATAAAATGGAAGAGGTTAAATAAGAAAATGAGTAATGAATGATATTCCATCCCAGATCATTTTTGGTATCAATGATATTTAATATTTTAAGTTTGTTTCAACAATTTTTTTAGAGTATTAAGAAAGTAGAATCCTAACAAATAAGAACATTTATATATTATTTTATTTTACTAATTTTTTATAGTTTTCTAGAATGTAATTGTGCCTCAGAAGTTAAAGATGGTTGGTAAAACAATTTCTTTTTCACCAACGTCCAACCATCCACTAAAAGCGGACTCCATTATAAAATGTAATGCACCCCACAACGGAGATCATATTTCTTCCTTCATTGTGTTGTTTCTTTCCTACTTCACTGTGGTATTTCACTTTGTCATTGTGGTGTCCATGCTTGTTGTTGGAGCTCATGGTTATTTGCTATGTCACTGTGCGTAGCAGCTTCCTATAATAATATTAATTAGTTTATTAAATATAAATAAATTAAGGGTTAAATATGTTTTTGGTTCCTTAACTTTCAGCGAAAATTGGAATTAGTCTCTCTTCAATTTTATTAACTTTATTTGATGTTTCAAACGCATTTCTTAGTGAACATTGAAGCAAAGTGTAAACAACTCAAATGCTATCATGAAACGCACTTGAAACATCAAATAAACCAAACAAAATTTAGCTAAAAGGACTAAATTCATACATTTCTAAAGTTTGGGACTAAATTAGGGCAAAGTTTTAAAGAGGGACCAATTCCAATTTTCGCTGAAAGTTAACGGACTAAAAACATATTTAACCCATAAATTAAATAAAAAAATTCGTAATTTATTACAAATAAAAATCTACAAACAAGATTAACATTAACTATAATTCAATTATTTTTTTTCTTTTATTACCAAAAACAATTTTAAAAAAAAAATAAATTAATTACATGTAAATATATTTTAAGTATAATATTACATAAATAAATCTAACAAAATAACTAAATTAATTATATAAAAAAATTAAATACATAAATATATTCTATAAATAAAGCTAAAAAAATTAAACTAATAAACGAAAAAAAGTAAACACTAAAACCCGAAGGCCAAAACGGATGTGGAAGATCCATTTGGCCTTCAACGGATGTGAATATCCGTGACAGATGTTAACATTTTCGTTGAAGGCCAAACGAATCTTTCATATTTGTTTTGACTTTTTGGTCACAGTGATTTTATGGACACAATAGACAACATACAATATCATAGCACACAACATACCAAAATCACAGCACAAAGAAACCTAAATAACAAACCAAACAAAATGAAAAGAAAGCTCAAACCAGAAAATGAAAATCAATACAAAACTAACCTGGATTGAAGAGAGGAAATCAAGCACAAACTACACTCCTCTTCGCGAACCCACCACCTAAGTCACAATGGAAGCAAGGACACAAACACGGAAGAGAAAATAATGGAGGGAGACGAAACAAAACTCACAAAAAGGGAGAGGAAGATGACGAGAGTGGGAAGAAGAGAGAATAAGAGAAATGAGGTTATGTGATTGTGGGGGTGTGGGGTAAGCGACACAATGGAAGGGGGAGAAGAGAAGATTAGGGTTTTAGATTAAATAAGGTAAAAGTGAAAAAAAATTACTTAAGGTTATTTTTGGAATAAAAGAAATTGAAGAGAAGGGTGTGGTGGTGTAGAGAGTAGTCTCGTGTCTCATTGATCTTGTGTTTACCTAATAAATCTTCTCAAAAACTCATAAATGATATTAGAGTTGATAATTTGTCTAAACAATCAATTCAAATAAGTATAACACGAGTCAAGAATATAAATGTGAAAATTCCTTTTAAGTTTTTCTAATAAAGATTTTAAACAAGTGTATTTCGTTGTCATAATAAAAACATTGGTATAAGAATGTCATTATTAAAATACTCGAAGTTAGAAATGTTTAAAGTATATAATTACTTAAAGACTCACATTTTATATAAGAAACTATTGAAAATTCAAATAAATCTAAGTCATAAAAATAAAAAATTAAACAATAAATAAGATTAAAAACCCATAAACTCAATATCTTGCGATTTTGAATTCGATGTAGATTAAAAACCATGAATTGTATGTCTTTCATAAATCTTTTCAATATTTATTATAATAGAAAATGCGAGATTGATGTCCGTGAATTTCAAAATCTTTATGTACACCTCAAGGTTTTTTCAAGTGTTGATTTTGCGATTAACATAAGAATCTTACACATATGACTAAAATAATTCAAAACATAATGTAATTTATACTCCCACAGACAGTTAAAATAAGACTAACCTATCAAACTTAAAATAACATTATTTATATAGTTTATCCCTCAAACAATAAACAGAAATACATAGAAATCACAGATAGATAAACAATCCAACACCCCATAACCGAACCAAGATATATTAGAAAATAACAATACAAGAAAGTAGTTAATTCAGTGTCTTCCTATATCTATTGTAGATTCATCACAACTGTGACTCCTCCCCGATCTTTCCCTGTTACTAACCATCCTATGGAAAGATCCTATTCTCAAACCCGAACACCCCACTTTCTCCATTTCATTTCCATCTTGCAGCTCATCACCGCCCACAACAGGTGGTGCTGTGGGTTGGACATGTTCTTCTTCCGGTGACACCTTTGGGTCAACCACAGTGCGGCAAATTGGGCACGTGGTGTTAGAATTAAACCATTTATCAACACAATCAACATGAAAAATGTGCTTACAATTTGGTAGCACTCTAGTGATTGCATCCTCCATAACAGTGGCCAGGCAAACCGAACACTCTATCACTTCACCTCGCTTGAACTGTTCCGTTTGGTTGTAGAATAGTTTAGGCAGAGACGCTATGATGGAAGTTTGAAGTCCAGGGTTGCGTGGCTCCACAGAACTGACATCAATCGGTGCAATCTGAGTGGTGATCTGGTGTAGAAGGTCGTTTTGGCGTCTCCTTTGTTGGCGTCTGATGAAATATTTGACACTAAAATGGACGATGATGATTATTGAGATCACAGCAAATAAAGAGATAGCTGCTGCTAGCATCACCTTTAGGCCTACACTGAGCGATTCGTCGTCGTCATGCTTGTCTTTGGAACCCATGCTTCTTTGATTTTGTGGAGATATGGTTTGGGTTAATTGATGGTGTTTATGTGGAACACATTCCACGGTTTGAAATGAAATTATTGGTGAGGAAAAAGAAATTTTGAAACACGAAAACTGGAACCGTTTCCTTTGAATTTTAAATCTTTCTCCGTCAATCTTATTGACTTTGCCACAACAAATTGTTTTCTTCGGTGTTTCGAGTAATTGGTCTATAGGGACAACTCTAGACTTCTAGCTACATTACACACTAAATTTCAATCAAGAAAATTATTTTTACTTTTTGAATTATTCTTCACTTCAAAAAAATTAAAACAAAAAAAAAACTGATATAGCTGAATTCTCGTGTATATCAATTGAGAAGTTAGATTCCTGTTAAAATAATGGTCAACCTTAATATTTGTCCTCTAATGAAAATTAGGAGAGTTAAATCTTGATTAAATAGTTGGCATTTTGTGTGCTTTTAAGTAAAAACAATTAATATTAATTATCCTCGATCTTTTTTTTTATTTAGAAGCAAAAGTTTAATTTAAATTAAGATCATAAATTAGATTATCAGTAAGACCTGGCAGTTGTTACACATCCAAAAATATATTAAGTAACTTGGAAGAAAAGTAACAACTTCATCTAATGTAGTCAACGACTCACTTTAAAAAAAAATGAAATTCTCTATTTATTTTAAATTATATGTTCTAACCTTAATTAAAATATATTTTACAGACACACTAACCTTTAATGATTGGAAATTCATCATAATTGAATGCAAACGATTCGAACTTAGAAGGCCAATTATGATAATTAAATTGAACAATCAGTCACATCACGCGTATAGCAGAAAAAGTATAATTAAATACAGAGTAACACTATACTAACACATATTAGCATTCTTTTGAAATGTATTATTGTGATAAAATAATCATTAAAATAATTTTTTGTATTTGTAAAAAAAAATAAAGAAAAAAAATAATAAAAATTAATGTCAAATGATAAAAATTGTGTTTGTCAAAGTATTTATTCTTAAATATAAGAGATATATTGAATTAGAAAAGTATGTAAAATGATTTAATTTGTATTAATTTTTGATAGATTGTGAAAACCAGAGAAAACAAGCATAAAATCACATTTACTTCATTTAAAAAATAAATAAAGAAAGTTAATTGGAAAGAAAAAATAAAAAGACAAATATCATATTTTCTAATAGAAAGATATGAAATGATGAGGATTTGTTATATTTAAAACTGAAGTTAATTAATGGTAGAGGTATTTTGTGAATAAAGGGTGTACTGTGATGTCTGTTTCTAGGGCCACTTAAGCAATGCAAAAAACAAAGAAATTTCAAAGTGAGAGGTCTATAATAGATAACCTTCTTATGAAAGTAGTGCATAAAGTTTTCTAAGTTGAAAAAAAGTAATAGTGTCACCATTAAGTCATTACAACATGCTCCAATTTCCAACCAGAACGAAAGTAGGTATGAATATAATATTCATCAAATGCCATTTTATTTATTGAAAAATGTAATTAATTTTTTTTATCACAATTTTTAATAAAACAATTTAAATAATATTTGTTTGACTAAAATTTATATTTTTCAGTGATAATATTTTTTTTTCATTCTCATTAAAGTGTTTTTAAAAATAGACATGCATATGAACATAATTAACAAGAATAAGTAACAAATAATAATGTAAACAATAGTATAAAATTTATATTGTAGAATATAAGTTTTTAGTAAAAACACGAACGAAGTATGAGACCTTAAAATTCAAATAAAATTGTGACTGGACTGTAAAAGTAGTATTTGCACAATAAATAAAAAATCGATAAGATTAATTAATTTTAAATTCCTGTTTGTAAAACACGCTAACAAAATGGTCCCGTAGCTCAGTTGGTTAGAGCGCTGGTCTTATGAGCCGGAGGTCGCGAGTTCGAGCCTCGCCGGGACCAGTTTTTTCTTTTTTATGTTTTTTAATTTTGGTTCCTATCTGGCATGAGTTGATTTTTCACCAACGGCCGCCAACCTTCCACGTTGGAGCCTTAATTTAAGGATCTAATAGACTTGCCTGTACCAGATGATCCCACAACAATTCTCTCTGTCTATCTGTTTTGCCGCTACCATATATACATATACTAATAATCTTCAATAATATAAAATAAATCCCACCAAGTAGTGCGAGCGAATTCCTGAATTTTTATTTGATATATATATATATATATATATATATATATATATATATAGCTGGATAAAATAATTGTAATAAAAGAAATTGAATAAAAGAGGCAAGAAAGCAAAGAAAGCAAAGCGTGAAGATGAAAACATTGGAGAATTTGTTGTGGTGTCATTTTAGGATTCATTGTCGAGTTCTCGAAAAATCCAACCAACTATGTATGCCATATTACAATAATATCTGTGTGGACCTGTCTAGGGCAATAGGGCAATAGGGCAATAGCGCAAGACTACCCTCACCTCATCATCTTCATGTATTCGTCGGTAGTCGCTTTCACATACATAAAGTCTTTTCCTTTTTTATATTTATTTCATTTTTGGACTTACATTCATCTTTCACTCACCTTATACGTTATGAGAGAATTAAAGCTGGTATTGGGCCATGGCAATCCACATTTCACACCCACCTTTTATTCTTTTGCTCCCTCTCTCTCTCTTCTTTTTCTCCTTTTCTTCCTCTTTACTTCTACACTAATATATCATTTTCCCCAACCCCCATTGCTCCGTTGCCACTTCAGGAAACAAAAGGGGTCTCCTTTCGAACTTCTCTGGTACGTATGTCAGTCTCGCCCCACTTGCATTTTTCTTTCTTTTTTTGTCATGCGGGGAAACCCATTTCAGTGTTCATTTTGGACATATTCCCCGTTTGTTTTCCAGAGGTTGAGTTCTTGATCTATGTTTTTTATGTGCTCTTTTTGGTATATCACATTATCAGTTTCTTTTTATTTCTCTTGTAAGTTTCGCTTACATGGCTCGTATTATTTCTGGGAATGCAAAAAAGAGTTCTTTTTTCTTTTTCTTTTTTTAACAATTCGTACAGCATGTCTTATATTTTCATTACATTTAGATTCAATATGTGGAATTTACTGCTTTCTTTTTGTAGTGTCTGGAATTGTGTGTAAGCTTTTCTGATCGTAGTGTGATTTCCGTTCCGATCCATACTATGCTATATTTGTGACATAATCTTTCACTGGTTGAATATAATATATGCATTGGACTTTATTACAAACAACGTACACGCGAAATTCCCTTATCAAGCTTCTAAATCGTGTATTTTTACATATATACTAATGTTTAGAAGTCTAAGTATCTAACTGTATAAGGCCTTCGCTTATCTTGTTAGTCGGGTTTGTTTTGTGTGAATCTCTTATAATTAAGAACAACATGCTAAATGTGTATTAATGGAGGGTGAGATAAGATGCTAATGTTTGATATATTCACAGGGTTTATCTTATTTTGAAATAAGTTACTTCACATCAAGAATGGGTTCAGGCTATTGGTTTAAGACAATAATTAGCTTAAGAAAATCAAAACAAGGCAGATCAAAGAAAGCAAAGGTACAATGTACTTCCTATCACTTGCAATCTTTTTTTTCTAATCCTTGTAGGGATTAAATTGCAGAATGTCAATATGTTGATTTTAAACCTCTGTATCTCCGTTATTTTCCTAAACTATTGAATTAATGAGTTTTGGTGCCCCTTTATCTTAAATTATTTACCACATGATATCGAGATAAGCCTTTTTGTAATTGCAGTTCTCATTTCATAAAGGATAAAACTGTAGTAAGTTGGCTCTAAACCCAGTCGGGGTCTATTTGGAAGAACTTATTTACGTATTTGGATTTATTTTGATATAAGTACTTTTATAAGTTTAACTCTTTAGGAGTGCTTATGAAAATAACTTATTATTATCATTTAGTTGTTACGAAAATGAATCTTAAGTCCTTTTCTATGATTTAAATGAGTAGCATATTGTCCAGTACTTTGTTGCTATAAATTAGTTAGTTTAGAAGCCTTCTATAAACTATAAGGTCTGACTGCAATACACACACCTCCAAGTTGATGTGGTTATTTTTTAAACAGTATTTTATCTGAGTTTGGAATGATCATGCGTATGATGTACAGTAATGTTGTTTACAAAAACTTAATTGCTTTGTTTACGTTAGGCTGTAGAAATTCCATTTTTGTTATCAAGTATTTCAAGATATTTTCCATGAACCATTGTAACCAGAATATTTCTATCTGTCTGCCCACATTTTGGGACAGGGTATCTTAGCTCAAGAGAAACTAAATGCATCAAAGTCAAACAATTATACCGGGAAAGAGTCTAGTGATTTAGCAAATGGTATTAAAAGTGAAAACCTTGTCTCAGCTGGGGTGTCAGTTGAAACTATTGCTGCAACAAGGATCCAGACTGCATTCCGAGCTTATAAGGTTTGTTCAGTTGAAAAATTTGCATCTTTAGTAATCATACTTCTGTATATATTGTTTCTTTTTTCCATTGTCGATGCTTATGTACTAGTGTACCGTTATTGTATTTCTTGTATGCCAGATTTCTGAGAACATCAAAGGGGTGTATGATTACTGAGTTTTTGTTTACAGAAAAACAAAAATATTGCAGAGTGTACATAATACTGTGGAATTAAATCACAATGATTGCCCACACTAGTGGTATCATTCAAGCTATATCTACTGCATTGCATGATGTGAAGGACATTGCAAAATGTCATTAAATCAAATCTGCTGTGTTCTTAATTTGATGAATTAAGTGCTAAAGAATTTAATGAATACGTTAGGATGGCAAGGGTTCAATGGACCCTTTTTCACGCTTTCACAAAAACTAAAATGTTTGTTACATCGGAGATTAATTTCTTTTCATATTGTTCCGTGCAAATTGGATTTTGTAGATTCTCCTATTGTTTATGAGCGAAGAGTGACATTTTATCTGTGTCTTGACACCTTTTTCCTTTTCATAAAATATAACTGCATGATATAATTCTTCAAAACAAACATGAATTGGTAAATCTTTTACTATCCTCTTAAAATCAACTCTTGATGATTTTTGTCTTAATGTGCTTGCTGATGATTATTATTAGAGTATTTCAGATGTAGGTTTGTGACTATATTTCAAACATGTGTTAGTATATTTGACTAGTGTTTATTTTGCAACTCTGACTTTTAAACTGTCCAGGCTAGAAAGGCTTTACGGCGCGTGAAAGGATTTTCAAAACTGAAGATCTTAACAGAGGGTTTCTCTGTTAAAAAGCAAGCCAGTACAGCTATAACATACCTTCACTCATGGAGCAAGATTCAAGCCGAGATCAGAGATCGTCGAATATGTATGGTAACAGAAGACAGGATCAGGAGGAAGAAACTAGAGTCTCAACTAAAACTGGAAGCAAAGCTTCATGATCTGGAGGTAATCTTTAACTTGCCGTCATTTTCTTAAGTTTGTTTCAATCTTAATTTTTTTTTAAAAAGCCATTTTTGTGAACCTAAAAGTTTCTCGTACCCACAGAGCTTAGATCGATCTTCTAACACCATGTTTAAGTGAAAAGTTACCCGTCAACTGTCACATCATGTTGGTTAAAAAATGTCATATCTACTTCCAATGCTACCACTAACTGAATCTGAATTTTTATCTGTTTATTTGATGAAGAGCCTGTTGACGTATTTTAGCTATCTCGATTATTTCATAGTGCTGAGAAATTATTAGTTGTGTCTCTACTTTTCTGGGAAATTTTTTCTCTTCCTCGAGTGTTGCCTTCTGTATGCACTTTTTGCTTTAAGTTAAATTGCAAAGTGAAATATTTATAGAACATTACTTAACATTACCATCAAGTTTACACTGTACAAATATTTCACTAGATACATAATATTATTTGAACTTAATTCAGTCAGTCTTGTTCTGAGCACTAGATAGCATAAATTACAGGTTGAATGGTCTGGTGGTCCTGCAACCATGGAGGAAATCCTTGGAAAGATACATCAGAGGGAAGAAGCAGCAGTTAAGCGCGAAAGAGCCATGGCATATGCCTTTTCCCATCAGGTAGGTTTCTGAGTCTTGGGAATGTCTCAATATCTTTTATTCCCTTATCCAACTGATAATGACATGCATATACTATGAATCACATATCAGTGGAGGGCCAACTCTAGTCAGAGCCAACTGCTAGGTAGTTATGAACTTAGCAAGGCTAATTGGGGTTGGAGCTGGAAGGAACGGTGGGTTGCTGCTCGGCCTTGGGAAAGCCGCATCTCCGGCTTATCTGTCACCCCAGAGAAAACTCAACATAAGCAGCCAAGTAAGGTTCATAAGGATAAGAACACACCACCAAAAACTCCTGTATCAGTTAAACCTTCTTTAGCCATTGCAAAAGGGACTCCTCCTTCTGCCAATGCAAAAGGCAATTCAAAAGCTAGGAGATTGTCTTATCCACCGACTGCGGAGAAAACTGTGGTTCAAGGAGTGCAATGAATGAGCAATTTGTTCTTGACATGGTGGCAAAGATAAAGCACAATTTTTAAGTATCAAGCTTTTTTGATAACTTGAGTGGAACTGAGTCAAATTGATTTTAAATTGGTTACAATCCATAAAAGGTAAACCAGAAAGCCAACTTATTTATTTATTGGATTGCTTCCAATTGTGCATACGAGTGTGACAGAAATTCAAACCACTGCAGAGAATGTGTCAACAGACCTGTTGTGGGTGTGATTTGTTGATTGCTTCTGTTTAATTTCTTCTTTTCAACCTTGTATATTCAACGAAGAGACAGATTGTAGATAGAACAATATATCTATTCTTTTTCCTTTTATGTTGTTATAGAAAATTTCCAATATGTGATCATGCTGTTTGACTTCCGCTTGGTTTATGATTACCATTTTCATATGGCTTATGCAACTTGCTACTGTTTCTGTTCCATTTATACTTATATGTTACAGAACTAATACACACAGACACATCTTATATTTTTTCCATGGTACTTACTATCCTTTTTCCAATGCTATATTACTACCGGGCTCAATTATAAGCAAGATTAAATATTTTCACATTGATCATGAATATAATTGTTTTTGTTCAATAAGGTGGTGGTACCTTTAATAAATTAATATCAAACATTGACAATGGTGATTAGGTTTGAAGATAAAAATATTTTTGAAACAATAATATTAAATAGAGTTTAGGAAATCAAAACTTGTTTATATGTAAGTCCACCAAACATTACTTCTAATTTTGTTTGTACTTTATTTTGGAGGCATTAGTTGCTTTACATTAGCACACCATCGTTAAGAAAACATTAATCATTAAGATTGTAATATGACTAAAATATCATAATTTAAAGTAATAGTTTTTCAAAATTCATTTTAATATACATATTAATATAATTGAAAAGGCATTATAAATGTTATTTTGAATTTATAAAATAACTATAATTTTGGAACCGCAAGAGTGTAATTAATCACGCATGTTATGTCTGGTTAATTTATTTTAGAGAAATGGGTAGTTTTTGAAATTGTCTGAGAAGGTGATAAAATAAGTAATTGTTAATTTAAAATAAGATTAAATAGAGATATAGTAATGGAGGGTCGAAAATAATTGCAGAACAACGCCTCCATGATAGTGGTGGTTGGAAAGAGTACCTAATTAGCTGGAGTAGGCGAAGGTGATGAATTAATTATGGTTGATAATTCTCATCACCTACTTCCTCACTCAATCTTACCAATAATCTTCTCTCAAACTACTCTTAAATGTTTCTTTTTGTTAAAACAGCTTTCAAAACACTCTAAAAAGTATCCCTATCCCTAAAATATATTAATCTCACTGTCAAATATGATTATTTATTATAATTATTTTGGACGACTCACTCTTTCAATCCGAACAAAGTTTAGTGTTTAAATGGAAAATTTTCAATCTTTTTAGAGTTTAAAATACCTGAAGAATGTAATTATTTAAATTGTATTTTTTTAAATTAAAACGATTTCAATTATTTTTTGGATAAAGTACTCACAATTCCAGTGGTATGGCAAATTTGTTTTTAAAAGAAATAAGATTTAATATAAACTTTACATAAAATACTCAAATTTCAAATTATAGAAACGAATGTTAGTGGATTTTTTCAATATTATAGATTAAAGTGGTTGTTTTATAAAATCATGAAAAAAATACAAAGACTTAAGCTAATCTTAGAGCCATAGGGCCGAGCAGGCAATAGCCCAGGGCCCAGTAATCCTTCTCCCCTCCGAAAGGTTTTTTTCTGTTTCTTTTAGTTTTCGAAATTTTATTATTTTATGGCCCGTTTCATACGGCAAAGTTTATTGGTGCAACTAGCAGATCACACGAACACATTTTTGCTCGGTATTAATACTCATAACATGTGTCACGAGTAGGGATGGCAAAAAAATCCGCGACGGATAGTTGGTACCTGCGGATATTTACTATCCGCGGGTTGCGGGTAGCGGGTTTTTTAATACCCGCTTATAAACGGGTCTGGTGCGGGTATTATACTATCCGTATCCTCGGATATCCTCTACCCGCAAAAAATAAAAATAAAAATTTAATTTATATTTTATTAAGTTAAATTTAATTAAAATTAACATTAATTTATATTTTATAAAGTTAAATATAATTAAAATTAAATTTTAATTTATATTTAATTTAATATATATTATATTTTATATATTTTTTGTAATTTTATTTAAATTTTATTATAATATTTTATAAAAATATATTTTTTTTAAATATTTATGGGATATCCACGGGTATCCACGGATATCCGCGGGTTTTAAAATATCTGCGGATATTTTTTAAGCGGATATCCGTTCGGGTAGCGGGTCGGGTAACGGGTGGATTTTTTTTTTGTCGGGTCGCGTTGCGGGTAGGCACTATCCGTACCCGACCCGATCCGTTGCCATCCCTAGTCACGAGTGTTGTTTGTGAATGAAAAATATTATTTTAATTTAGGAATTCACGTTTAATATATTTTTTTAAAATTTTAAATAACTCATGCTTATGAAATTATATTAAAAATAGTATTTTTTTTTATAAATAACTTTTATGGTAGTTTTTATCTATTATTTTTATAGTAACAAATACAATGAAGTTAATTTGTTTTTCATATACACAAAAATCACATGTACAGAGAGTATCTTAAAGTAATATCATTCTTTCAAATAGACTCTACATCTTATTTTTTAAATTATTACTAATTGAACAAAATTAAAACAAGAGAAACAAATCGAAATGACAATTGAATTCAAGGGTTAAATTCAAATTAAAATAACTACTAAATATGATTTACACGGTGACAAATTAATTAATTATTGTAATTTCTAATTGAAAACGAATTAATTTGAGTAAAGTATGTTTCTAATTTCAAACTTTGCCGTGAAATTAAAATAATTTTGATACAATTTGATTAGTTATTATGATCTAATTTTGTTAAATTTATTTAATATGTCAAATAATATTTTATATTTATGTTTAATACGTATACATAATTTTATTAATCTAGAACACTATTTAACACGTAAAAATAATTAAAATTACTCAATAAAAAATGATTATGTCTATTTTTTTTAAAGTTTATGTATTAAAATGTTTCAAAATTTGAGACATAAATAAATTTTGATGTTTAAACACTACAAACATATTTATTATCTTTTTTTTTACTACAAATATATATCTAATTAAAGTATTCTCTCACTTAAAATATCTCTAATTAGTATAATCCAATATACTCACGTGGTAGTTAGATTCAAGTAGACCTTTTATGCACAGTTTAACTCACTTTTTGTGGTTCCTCATCCAAGTTTTATTCTATAATTTTAAAAATATACACATAGGTATCTAAGTTTATGTGCTAAATAGTAGTAAGTCATTTAACATTATAGAAAAATATTTTAAAAAACAATTGCAAGGTGGTCAAACTTTTTTTAAGAAAATTATACACGAAATTAAGTTTAATTTATATATATCTTCTAACCATTCTCATTAAGTACTTAGACAAAATGTGTCCAAGCAAAAAGGAAATTGAAATAAAGAAGTTCTTCCAACCACACATTTCCTATTTAAAGAATGGAATCCCATTTAATTTGGTGGTTCAATTGTTGAAAGACTGACACAGTACATTAGAAATAATTAGTGATTAAATAAAATTTGGATAAGTGGTAAAATAATGAAATGAAATCCTGAGAGATCTGCATTAAAAACCGGCATTTTGGATATGGACTCGTAACTGACCCTTGATGCGAGACAGTACCAAAGAGGAACAATATAATCTTAATACCTAACAAGATCAATAAATATTCACTACATTTCAAATTCCTTCACCACCTGTCAATTCATTGCATTAAACATTTTTCCATTTCTGATCTTTCATTGCCTGAAAAGGGCCAAGCTTAACATACTTTCACACACACTTTCTCCCTCAAAAATTGCACTTGCCTTAACTCCTTCTTACCTCATTACGTATTTATCTATTAAATTCATTAGTGTAAAAATAACGTCATGTCTTTAACCACTGAACCTTAAAAATGTAAGTGACATCTTGATAAATAAATGCAATTATTAGAGTTCGTTTAAAATTATAATTGGACTTGAATTTGTTATATTGGATAAATTTTGTGAAAACGTCAGATATTAAAATATTAGTGAATTTAATAAAAATTTGAGCGAAAGATTGAAAATTCATTCACTTTATCTTAGACCCTCTTTTCAAACTTTTCTTTTCTGGAAAGAAGTTTGACGATCACCATCACATATAATATTTCTTTCATTTGTTACAAATGCATATTGATTAACTACTTTAGGTATTACTTTTGTTTTTTTGATCGATTTTTCTTAGTGTTCTTGTTCTTCATAGGCGCATTTTGTTTTCTCTTGATAACATTTTATTTCGACGAACTCACCTTTAGAAAGTTAGTTTTTGTTTTCGTTTTGAAGAACTTATTTGTTGAACTTGTTTATTTTTTTGTTGAACTTGTTTGTTGTTGTTGTTTGGTTGAACCTGTTTGTTGTTGTTAGTTTGATTGAACTTGTGTGTGTTGTTTATTATTGTTGTTTGTTGTTAATACTACACTAGTTCATAATTCATGCTTTATAAAATACCAAAAAACTGAAATTTGTTAGTTTTACTTTTCAGAATGTCGTAATGATCACAATTAATTTAAAAAAAACAAAAAGAATTGATTAAAATTCGACTTCGACGTTAATGTTTGCCGATGTAGCGTCGACCTCGAATCTCAAAGACCGAAAAACACTACGCAGTGTTTTTGTACCAATGCGAGACGTTAGATTCCGACAATTACAACGTTAAACACACATTCATTGAAAATCTTAATAGAAAATCTGATAGAACTTTACAAAATAATCATTTATTTAAAGCCTAAACATATCAGTATCTAATACAGGTCAGTGAAGTGTCTAATCTTTCAAAGCCTTTATATCTAATAAAACTACGATAACCGTATAAGTATGTTAAATATAGAAACATGTCGCGGTGTGAGATATATGCATTGTATCCCAATTAGTGCAGGAAAACATAAACATAAACATGAACCTGTATTTTTGACAGGAAACTGGAGAGACAAGTTATTCAATGTTGGTTGTTAGAGATAAAGAATGAAGATGGTTAATGTGGTAGGAGTAGGACCAGAAAGATGCAGCCATTCATATGGTTTCAAGGACATTAATATTTGTTGCCAAAAACAGGTATTCCTTCACATCATTCAATCATAGAACCTGTACCATTCTACCATCTACCCCATTTTCATTAACTTCTACTAGTTCAAATATCACTACGACATGATATATTTGTAGTATGGCCTTGTATTACCATTCGTGACTTGTATTGTGAGAAGATAGTTTTTCTCTCCCAAGTTCATGGATTGTTCAAACTCCAATGGAGGATCAAAGAGGCTTCTGGACTTGGCGCAAAGGCTCCGCCTTTACAAGCCCCCAATATTCCCTGAAGATATTTTGGATGACATCATGGAAGACAAGGTTGTCTCAGAAGTGAGTTACTCAGAATCAACCACCTCAATGGCTCAAAACACAGAAGAATTCAGATACAAGAGAGCTGCTGTTTTGATCTGCATCTATGAAGGAGATGCCGGGGATCTCAGAGTGGTACTCACCAAGCGCTCTTCCATGCTCTCCACTTACTCGGGTCAGTTCAATTTCATACAAGTGCTTTGTCCTTTTTTTTTAAAAAAAAATGATAGATTACTATCATATAATTGTAACTACATTTGCAATGTGGTTGTTCTGCTGTGATAACAAAGATCTTGGTGTCTTTTAAATTTTTGATGACATGTTTGAAATCTTTTTCCCCCTCCCTTCATATTTAGGCTCTGTGAATGAATCAGTAGGGAATGTAATGAGGGTTGTGTGTATTGCATGTTGTTTTGCAGGTGAAGTGGCCTTGCCTGGTGGGAAAGCGGAGGAGGGTGACAAGGATGATAAGGACACGGCAAAAAGAGAGGCAATGGAGGAAATTGGGTTGGACCCTGAACTTGTCGATGTCGTTACTGTTCTTGAACCATTTTTCTCTAAGGTATAGACTCTTTTTCACACATCTACTTGTTGGAGTAACTGATATTATGCAGAATTCTGAAGCATCATATCACATGATCTTGAGTGGTTATACATTTCTTGATTCACAAATGAACATTGATTAATCTAAAACTATTGATAAAGTTTCCTCTAAGTGAAAGTTAACCCTTTTTTTAATCCTTTGGTAGTACCTGATGAGAGTGGTTCCTGTGATTGGCATTCTTCATGACAAAAAGGCATTCAAAGCTGTTCTGAATCCTGCGGAAGTAGAAGCTGTGTTTGATGCACCTTTAGAAATGTTCCTCAAGGTTGAGTCTTAGTTTTATTTGTGTGTGATGTATGTTTTACTTTGTATTGATGTAGAAGTTGATGTGAATCAGGATGAAAATAGGAGTGAGGAGAAGATGGAATGGATGGGAGAGAATTATCTGATACATTTGTTTGACTACGAAATGGAGCATAAAAAATATCTGATATGGGGTTTAACGGCTGGGATCTTAATAAGGGCAGCATCAGTTGTGTACCAACGACCACCAGCTTTCATGGAGCACAATCCTAAATTCAAGCTTCATCAAGTCATTTAACTCTGTAACGCACTCAATTTACCTCTTAACAATTGTTCACCCATCACTACTACACATTTCCAGATTAACTCTTTAAATGTATCCCAACACTTGCAGAATGCCATCAATAAGTTACAATTGTTTACTTCAAAGAATGCATCAAGAATATTTACAAACATTTACTCAGTAAAACTTGTTCAGCAGAATATCTAGCATTTTTTTTTATTGAAAGCTATTAAGTTAAATGAAAATCAATAAATGAATTTTGAAACTCATAATGTACGAGAGACTGAAATTTTAGTATTTCGCTCCATTATCACATAATAAAAAGAAAAACTTATATTGATTAATTTAAATTGGAGTAATATTTTAGTAATTAGTTTGCATCTTAATTTAATTAAATTTATTATTTAAGACTTTAAATATTATAAAATTAAAAAATATATTTTTATTTACATTTGGAGTCTCCATCATTTTACTTTTCTAAATTATAAGATATTTAAAATTAACAATTTTTTATTTCACAATCATAAAATTCTCATGTAATTTTATAATCATTTTAAATAAATACAACTATTTAAGAATTTATAACTACCCACATGTCCTGAGTTTAAAGCTAATATCTCGAAATGATGTACTTTTTATTGGATGCATATTGTCAAATTATTCCAGACTAAGCACTCTTAACCATGAAGTTCTTATGGGTTAGGCTACCAAAGAGCAAATGCATTTTCTGGTGATATGAGTAGCCAAATCAATCCGTTTAAGCTATCATTCAACTGTATAGTCCCATACCTATACAGTCTCTAGATTCCTCTTTTTCTGGTGTATGTTCGATTTGTCCATGTGCTCCTTCCACGGAAAGCCTGCCAAGAGTCGCTCCTTGTCAGTGCCCCTTGCACTTCGTGTCTCTTGCACCAGCGATCACTCTCCGCCCTCATCAGTGTCCGGATGTCACACATATTAATTTAAAATTTATATTTGGTATTTATTTCACTTGTCATACAATTAACTAATATTTATATTTGTTTTGTTAATTGTATGATATTTAAAGTTTATAAATAATAATTAAAATAATTATAAAACGTAAAAAGTTAATTAAATTGGGATGTAAACTATATCCTAAAATATATTACTCTATTGCATCCTCTCCATTAAGATTAGATGATATAATTGCTATCAATATCAAAATAAGGCAAAAAGAATTAACAAAATTTAAATGTATCAATATCAACTTTAAATATATAATGACAAATTAATTCAATAGGGTCACGTAATCAAATCAGAATGAACTGCCAACTCGTCAAAAGCATTTTACAAGACACCAACCACAGTGCATACAGACACAACAAATTTCTATTGTTATTTATCTATAGAGTCCTTTTCATGCATCATCACCCATTTTATCACAGTCTGTAAATAAATATAAAGGTTATATTCATTTAAGTGTATTCTCTCTCTAGCTTTTACACTACTTCTACAAACATCACATTATGTGGAAAACTTTTATGGACTTTAGTTCAAGATGTGTGGGGACTTGAGAAGATTGCATTTGGATATACTTCTGCTCAAAAATTCCCATAACTGTTAATATTTATCTATTACAAGGTTAATTATATTTTAGTTTTTAAACTTTTTTTAATGTATAATTTTTTTAATTGTAGTATAAATTGTAATTATTTTTTAATTAATTTGGTTATAACAGGTTTCTTTGTTATCATAAAAGGTGTTACTATTATAATTGTGAAACAGAGGTGGGAGGGAAGAGGAGAATGAGTTCAAAGAGAGCTTCTTCCAGATTACAGGCTTTGATTAATCACATCCAATGTTCGTATTCCGCGCCGACGAACCCCGACATTTTGGATAAACCCATCGTTTTGAAGAAGAGAGCGGCGGTTCTGATATGTGTCTTCGAAGGCGGCGATGGAAGTCTGCGAGTGATCCTCACCAAGCGCTCTTCCTCTCTCTCAACCCACTCCGGTCTTTCCTTCACTCTTTGCAATCGATGTTGTTCTGTTTTTCTATTCCATTTCGAGTTTTACCTCACTGTAATATCAGCAGGTGAAGTGGCTTTGCCAGGTGGCAAGAGGGAAGAAGGTGATGCTGACGATGTACAAACAGCGTTAAGAGAGGCCAAAGAGGAAATTGGCTTGGACCCTTCTCTTGTTTCTGTCATTACTCCTCTCCAACCCTGGCATACAAGGGTATATTTCTCTCTGCTTTTCATTTTTTTCATCTTCCATTGCATCTAACTTCATTTGCTTCGGTTTAGGTTATCATACTCTGACACATCATTTTTAATCGCCAGTTAAAGGACAAAAATTAAAAATAATATCTTTCTGGATTAAGCAAAATTGAAAATGACATGTAATTAAATGTTTTTAGGTGCAGAGACAATTTGTGACTATGGCATCGTATGAGTAATGAAATGTTTCAAAAACATGGAATGTAGTTTATCAGTAGATATTTCAATCCAATTGTGTCGATCCATTTCTTAGATTCAGGTTATTAACCACCTTCCTGCCCCCAAGTTCCAACCTTGTTGGATTCAGGGTTTTAATTCTGGGAAAAACTTGCTTCCTTTAAACCCAAGATTCCTAATCAGATGAGTTAAGTCCTGCAATTCTAGAGTATGCTATTATTTTACTATTTTGTAGTATAGTGCTACTATATTCCCTAAGACTTGCGTTTGTATCGAATTATTATCTGCCGAGCTAATATCAGATGGACCTTACTAAGGTTAAAGCTTCTTCAATTATGCCCAGTTTGGTTGACTTTTACCCTATGGGATATCTTCAATTATAACACTCTATTATTGAGACTTTTTCAAGCATGAATGCAGAGTTTGTATTAATTTGTAAGTCCTGGCGAAAAAAATAGATGAGATAGCTTTTTAAAAAGTTGAGATGAATTAGTTGGTTTTAATGTGAGAAGTTTGATTCGACTTTACATTTTTAATTCATTCTATTTTCTTCTCCTGAATACTCAAATTTATCCAAGTGTCCACATAAATAAAGAAATCTAGTTAGTTTTTTTTTTACAGTATTGGCAAACACACAATCCAGATTTAGAGGCACACATTAATTATTTTAAGTAATTGAAAATACCTTTGAACCTTAGATTTTTGCATAATTCATTACCCTTACAAAGCAGTTTTTAAGTACAGTATGGTGTAACCATAGTACCTGTGCTTGGAGTACTGTCCGACAAGGATGCATTTTCACCAATTTTAAATTCAGCTGAAGTAGAAGAAATATTTGATGTTCCATTGGAGATGTTCCTCAAGGTTTGTTCTACTGTAACTGTTCTTTTATATACTTATTTTTACGGTTGGAAAATTTGGGGCACGTTCTGGCATAAAGGCAAATGAACTTAATTTCTGACATCATGGTTTAATGCAGAATGATAACAGAAGAGCTGAAGAAAGAGAATGGATGGAGGAGAAGTATCTTTTGCATTATTTTGATTATGAGTTTGGGAACAAGAAGTATGTGATATGGGCTATAACTGCTTCAATCTTAATTGGAACGGCTACTCTTCTACTTCAGCGGTTCCCTGATTTTCTAGAACAGAGGCCTACAATATGGGGAGGGATGACTGAAGGTGACAAACTCATGCTGAAGAATATTTCTAATTCCAAATAAGGAACTTATGCATAAATAAATTAATATTTAGAAGTTATTTCATATTAACTTCTCTGAAATCTATCTTTTATCCCACTCATGAGTTAATTTTAGTTTATGGAGAAATTATTGTTGTTTTTAACTCTTACTTGTCTCTTCTATTAGGTTCGTATAGTAACGACTGATATGTGTGTTAGATGGATGCTTAATAATATGTTTCATTGGGAATTTTTTAGCCAGTTTATATACATCGCATGTTTTTCTAAAGCATAGTGAATTTATGCATATAGTTGGACCATGGTTCGGATATTAATCTTACACACACTAAAGGAAACTTGGATATGTAATTAATTGTATTTACAAATCAGTGACAATTGTATTTTATGACGACTACTCAGTTTATATTATAAAGTGGAAAAAAAGAAAAAGTTGGTTAGCCTTGTGTAGTTTCTTTCTTCTGGTTTTCAATGTTGCGTCAGTCTGCATTATAGCAAATTGTTCACGCAACTAATGTGGATTGTGGAATGTGTTGAGCGTCTTTTATATATATATATAGAATTTTCTTGTAAAAATTTGTAGAATTGGGTTAAAGACATGGATTTTAGTTAACACGGAAGCAACCAGTTCTAGGTTTTAATTAGTTTATTAGCGAGCCCATTTTATACTCACCTCATTCAGTAAAACCACGTCCATCAATCAAGTAAATGCAGAAGCTGTTCATTTAGGTTCTGCGTGATGCTATATGAAGAGTTACTTGGAGTGCATTTTGCGTAAATAAATTGAAGGCAGCATTGTTTTTTAAAATTTATATTTCATTTATGAGATCTTGAGCAAATGCAAAGCATTATAGACGCAGTTCGTGATGAACCTATTTCCAATGCAAAAATTGTCTATATGGCACGGTGGGTGAATTTCAGTCAACAGCAAACGAGACCACATAGGTTAAGAGAACGCATAAGCAAAAATACCTTCCTAATTATTTATTCGGTGTTTCTCATAAATTAAAAGGTAAAATGTAGTAACCTTTGCAATGAAACTCAAAATATGAAGGAATCCAAAAAGATTTTAAGAAAAAAAGTAACTTTTAATATATTTTTTTTCAAATTTATTCTAATATAGGAATCACAGTCTGGAAACCCCTAGCTTGTTAAAGGACTACAAATACAGTAGAAAAATAGTGAATGACTCTTACACTTAATAAACTCGGATTTTCCTGTATAAGAGGAATTCATGAATCTTACTAATGTTTAAGGACAATGAAAATCCTCTCAGGAAAGGAAATGTAAAATGTAAACAGTCGCTGAATACCGCAGCATAAAGACCGTGTTATAACTACGCCTCTCAGCTGAAAACCTCGTAAAATTTCTCAGTGACAAGTAAACCTGAGTCTATTGACTCCAAGGGATCCTTTCTAAGACGGTGTCTCAAGCAGTTGGGAATAACAGTAGCAATATCCTCTGCACTTACTGTGTCTCTTCCCTTCAGTGCAGCAAGAGCTTTTGCAGCCCTGTTTGTTACGATGTCTCCTCTTAGTCCATCCACATTCAACTCTGCACACACCTTGGAGATTTTCACCTTGAGATCTTGATCAATTTGAACAGAAGAAAGAACACTCCTTGCTGAGGATATTTGGTCCTGGAGCTTCTCTTGCTCTGCTTTGTACGAATCACGAAACTCCTTTGGGCTCTTGTCAAATCGACCTCTCTCCTCCACAATCTTAACTCTCAGCTCAGCATCCCTGACAGTTCCAACTTGAGCATGCATTCCAAACCTATCCAACAGCTGGGGCCGGAGCTCCCCTTCTTCAGGATTGCCCGAGCCAATTAGGATAAAGCGTGCAGGATGTGAGATAGAAATTCCCTCTCTCTCCACTGTGTTCCATCCTGATGCAGCAGAATCCAACAACACATCTACCAAGTGATCATCCAAAAGGTTAACTTCATCAACATATAGGATTCCCCTATTAGCTTTGGCCAGTAGTCCAGGCTCAAATGCCTTCACACCCTCAGTCAAAGCTTTCTCAATGTCAATTGTTCCACACACTCTATCTTCTGTAGCTCCCAATGGCAAATCAACCATGTTAATTTTCGTCAATACCACAGAAAGATCCTCTCCTTGTAGTACACGCTCTCTCACTTCAACACCCATGAATTCTGGATCTTCCGGGTCTGAGTTATAGGGGTCACCAGCAACAACCTTGATTTCGGGAAGTAAATCAACCAATGACCGAACCGTTGTGGATTTCCCTGTTCCCCTGTCCCCCATAATCATCACGCCTCCAATCTTAGGATCAATCACATTAAGGAGAAGACAGAGTTTCATCTCATCCTGTCCAACTATGGCAGCAAACGGGTATACTGGTCTTTGGCTTTCTTTAGCAGCAGTACTCTGATTCTGAATATGAAAAGTTTACTGAGTTGGGTTCTTGTAAAATGCATACACACACAATCCTTAGTTTCCACGAAGTCTAGCACTAATTTTGAAAGTAAAAAACATAAATAGGCTAGGTATTTCAACATAGTATACATTCAAGTATGAGCTCGTTTTTATTCCTCTCATTTTCACCTTGCAATTTTCCAACAATCAACCATACTCTAAATGTACATGCGTGTAAGAGTAACAGAAACCATATAAACTTTAAAGGAAAAAGAAAAAAGAAAAAATAACGTACGCACTAACAGGTAAATACTATTATTCATTTAATGTAATGTTAACTTTTATAGTAAGTATCTAATTGATCAACAATGGATGATTTCTGTTTGACAAAAATATTTTACACTCACAGTGCATGGTCATTAAACTAAAGAAAAATATCACAATACGGTCTAAAAGTCTGCCTTCAACCCAAAATCTGTTTAAAAATCATTTGGAATCCTCAATGATCAACACACATCCACAAAAGAGTGGAAATCTTTACAATAACTAATCTAGAGTACAGCCATTATAACCATCTAATGCAATCCAAAACATAAATAAAGACTCAGAAAGAACATCCAGACCTCAAAAACCGAATATCGTACCAACCTGTTCTACAGAGTTAACTTCAGTGGCAACACTGGCAACTGAGAACTGAGACCTTCCCTTCATGCCGTGGATTCCAATTCCTCCATAAAACTTCCGCCCATAGCTCTGCCCTGCAAATTCTCAACCACTCAACTTAGATTTAACCACAAGAACCCACAATTCATTTCCAGCTACAAACTCCGCAAGGAAAACAAATTCACAAATTTGGCAGAGCAAAATAACATATACGAAAGGGGTCTGCCGTACTCCCTCCAACAACATATTGAAGGCAAAAAACACAGTTTGCAAAGCAATGTACCTGAGGTTAGAGAGAGAGAGTGAACGGAAGGCTTGGAAGAAGAAGAAGAAGAGAAATAGCGTGAAGGCAGAAGAGCAATTGAAGAAGTGCCCAACGTGGACGCCATAGGCGGAGAAGAGAAGGAGTGTATGTGCTCTGCTCTACGAGGCTGTTTGTTTGTTTTGTCCTTTATTCACCAATCATAGCAGATGGCATGCCTCCTATTGGCCTCCCAGCCTTTGGATAAGAAGATAGATAGATTTCATTCTTTTCTCTCTCTTCTTCTTCTTCTTCTTTTAATTAAAACAAAAATAACTCAATTAAATTAATAATTCCTCCAAGTTTACAAAAAAATTTTAAAAGACCACGTACTCCTACATTACATTTTTATTAAGGCCCAAAATAACCAGATCAATTCCAAACCATGCTCTTAAATTAAATGGTTATGTGTATTTTTGTTAATAGTAAATAGACTCTGATACGAATATTGCGGTAAATTATTTACTTTAAGACAAAGGTTTTATTTTACTTTGAAATCCTATCATGGTAGTTATTTTTTACATTATTTTAAAACTTTCTTTTGCAAGTTATTATATTATTTTGTTAAATGTTTTTTTTTTCAATTTTTTTTTAATAATGAAGTCTTGTTATATTTATCTTTATACCTTTTTAATCTGAATTTTAATTAATATAATTAATTAAATTAATATGATTATTACCTTTTTATTCTTAAAACTAAAAATCATGTACAAGACACGGATCTTGGATATAAAATAAAACCTTCATCATACCATAACATAAACATGTTTCAAGAAGATTTTGTATAACTCTTAAACTTTCTATATGTGACTGGGCCAGTGGTCTTGGGTAGTGGAAAAGACTTGCATGGCTTGTCTGAAAGCTGGTAATGCAGAGTGTCTCAAAGTGACCAAAACTTTGAAGCCCTCTATATTCTGAGAAGAGGCAGTTGAATAAGGCAAAAAGAAGCAAGGCTCAACACTCCCAAGCAGGTTCCTTCCAAGCGGCAAAACAGTAACTGGGCCTCCCCACCCAAAGTCCACAGCTGAGTGGCCCAAATGCCTCCAATCAGTGAACCCACTCACATCTCTTCCTGCTGTGATCCCATCACCAAAATGCAGCTCCTGATAATCTATGTAGGACCGCACATACTCATCGCTCACATTGCTTTTACTCTTTCTTATTAGCTCTGCAGTTTCCCAGATGGGTCTCTCTGTCAACTCCTTCGCACTCAACACTACGTACATTGGCACACAACCATTGCCCCAATACCCACCAGGGAGTGCTGGCTTTACCAATCTCCGTATGTTGATTGAGTATGCAAACTTCACCTTCTCCTCCCCCTGAATTCCAGAGGCCATCACCCTGTCTCGCCAAGTACAATGGTCACAAACAATGTTCGTATAATCATCAAAATTTAAAATGCTAATACTACCTTCCAATTCTACTTATAAATGGCTAATTCTAAACCACACGGCCAATTCAAAAGACAACCTTTTCCGCTGTTTAATCCACCCACGTTATTAGAAACAACAGACAATTCAACCAAAAACAATGTAAGGGACAGAAGAAAAGTTGTGTATCTACTCCTTCACTGGAAATATCACACTATGCTATTTCTTCTTTTTCTGATGTAAGAGTAAAATGAACTCAACTGTTGCAGATGTTAACTCTTAAGAATTATTGTGACACTTACTTGGCTCTCCAAATGTAGGCACCGAGAGCCTCAAAAACGGTGAAGTTGAACCCGGATTGCTCCAACAAGGATCTCTTCAACATGTGCAAGCACTCATCCTTCACGTGAAAGCACTCTCTCGCAACCCCGCCAACGCCCTCCTCGTACGGCAGAACTCCTTTTTCCAAACGCAGAAACTCATCGATCAACGGTGAATCCACTCTTGGCGGCTTTCTGGGACCCAATAGCCTATCACGCTCCCACACCGTCTCCACCGTCATCCGCGTGGCCCCGCGCGCCAGCTCCGCCACCGCGTTGAAGAACAGCGTGCCCCCCATGCCGTCGCATAGCGCATGGTGCATGGCGGCGCCAAGGACGAACCCGCCGCACGCGAAGACCGTCACCTGGAGTATGCAGGGGTGCTCCAGCCCCTCCTCGGGACCCGGGTCGGGCACCAACTGCTCCACGAGAGGCGAGGCCGGGTCGTCCAGGTGGTTGACGGAGTGGAGAGTGAAATCGGCGGCGGCGCGGACGAGGGGGATGCCCTGGGCAGCGGCACACCAGAGTTCCAGACGGTGGGGGGAGGTTGGGCGGCGGCGTAGTGTGGCGGCGAGGGGGTAGAATTGGGTGAGGGCGTTGGAGAGGGAGGAGGAGATGACGTTGAAGGGGTCGAGGGAGGTAGGTGAAGCGGTTGAAGTGTACACGCGGAGGTAGCGAAAGGTGAGGTAAAGGTTGGGGTCGGTGTCGAGGTGGGAGAGAGGGAGTGAGTGGTCCTGAAGGAAGGGAGGCTGAGAAGGGATTACGACAATGCGCTCTAAGGTTTTGATCCTTTCCATGCTTAATGTCTGATCTTGTTTATGTTCTTGTTTCTGAGTATGATGCTATGTTCCATTCTTGCTTTTGTTTCTGCTTCTTTTATGGGTGAGCTTTTGGAGTTTGGATCCACTGCTCCAACCAGAAACAAAGCATGGTTAACGCAGTTAATGATATCACGTCAACAGAATACCTATAATTAAAAGAATGGTGATATTTTTTTAAGTTTTTTTAAATATAAAATTGACATTTCAAGTTTCTTAAATATTATAATTTATGAATTTTTCAAATCTAAAAATCCTCCATAATTATAATTTAATCTGTAAACCTTAGGCTGGAATTGTAAGAGGAATGAAAGAAAATATGGGACGTGGAGCATGCTGCATCCCATGTTCTCACCAAACACACTACACACCAACTCCACATGGTATAATCATATCATTCAGCTATTCTAAGCATATGTTCAATTCATACAAATTATAACACGTACTTTTTAAAAAGAAATTATTTATAAATAATAAATGAGTCCTCAACTATGGGCCAATTTAATGTGTGCGTGTTTTGATTGTTTGGGTACATAAACTGAAAACAGTAATACCAGTACGACAACATAATAGAACCAAATAAACATATAATACTATTGAATCCAATGAAATAAGGGACAATATTACATCTTAGATGATAACTATACCAACTTTTCTAGACATCCCTTTTCTTTCACATAGCTAAATTAAAGTTAGATATCTAAGTCGAATTTATGCAAATCAATCGTAAAACAGGTCCATAAATTTATAAATGTATCCATTTTTATAAAAAATAATAGTTGTATTAAAAAATAAAAGTAATTTCACTTTTTAAAACCATATATTTATATTAAATTTTATATATTAATAATTATACTGTTTAGAATTACCTAAAACTTGAATCCAAATATAAATATACACAACTTGTCTATGAACCAATCTAAACACATGTGATATCTATTTTATTTTGGAATTGTTAAAAAAATTTGGAACACACAACAAAGTTATTGAGTTTAGGAATTGGACTCGAGACTCTTTAGTAAGGGATTTTTATTTTATTAACATATTATTATGATTTAGAAGATATTTTATTAATATATTCTTATGATTTCATTTAGAATATATTGTATCTTATTATTATTATATTTTAAAGTAATTATTATATTTTTGGATTTAAGAATTGTGATGTAAAACCTTAGAAGGTGTAAATTTACAAATCCAAGACTTAGAAACTTGAAATTTTTTGGCTTAAAGTACAGTTAACTGTAAATCAATTACTCACTCTTTATTTATTTTCCAATTTAGAATCTCAAAGAACAATAATATTATTTTAGAATTAAAATTAATTTAAATATTCTAATTAAAATTTTAAAAACACATATTTTAATATTTTTTTAACTTTTTAAACAAACCAAAATTAAATATTAACCCGCTCGACTGCACCAAAAAATTACAATCCATTTTTTTTAAATGGATTAACTCAAACAAAACTTTTTGAATGGTATATCGAATCAGAACGAACCATGTCGTCCCCATTTCACAGCTCTTAAAGCAAATCACCATAGGATATGCTGTTATTGGTCAAGCAAATCAGCAACTCTCTCACCGTACTCACCCACTATTTTAAATGCCTCGGACATGTTTGATTTTTGAAATGATAGTGCAAAAAAGGATTGACTAAACAAATAATAAAAGTTATTTTACATTTATTTCTTCAAAATCGAATATTCTCCTATACTTTCTTCTTTTCTTTTTCAGTTTTTTGGTTGGGATTTTAAATTTTTTGGAAAGGTATCTGATATTTTGACAGATAAGTTAATTTGATTTTAGATTCAATCTTATACTAAATGTTTGTGAAAAAAATCTAAACTATTTTATTTTGGACTCTTATTTATGGATCTTTATCTTTTTCAAACTTAATCGGGACCAAATAATTTAATAACCATTATTTTGTAAGTTAATTGAAATTAATATTTTAATTAAAGTATTTTTTTATTTGTCAATTGTCGATTTTAGTTAATATGTTACCTGTACGAATAAACAACTATTATTAGTTTTGAGATATGTTCAGTTTCAAGGAGTGATGATTCTGAAAAGATATTTTGTTTGTATTGTAATATATTATTTTGGTACGTGAGGTCGAGGTTAATCATTCTCCAAGCTTAGTTTAATTCTTTGCACATAATTCTTTGCACAAGTCACTGTTTGTCTTTCACTTTTGCTCGATAGTATTGAGATATTACTCGTAAAAGGTAATTTGATGACAAAATCACTAAATACATATTAAATATAATCCATCTATCTCAACCTCTCTAAAACTTATATTTATATATTTTAGAATGAATATCTGAAATTTATATTTATATATTTTAGAATGAATTTCATATTAGTGTCGATCTAATTACGATCCAATCAGTAATGATCGAACTTTGGTGTAAAATAATTATTCTTAGCCATAATTCTCGTTTAAGATCATTTGTTTTATATTGTTCAATCGACCAATTTGCTAGGTTTTTTTGACTGATAAGACCGTCCAGTCAGTAAGTATAAATATTGTTGGGTATTATGTACCGTATGGGTCGGACGGCCGTAAAGCCACCCCACAACTAAATATGTCGAACGATCAATAAGATCCAGACACAGTTAAACTAATTAAGCATAGCAGAAGTCTTGACTCGTACCATACGGCCGAAATGATCGTCCGGTCTGAGTCCCTAAATAGGTTACACCACAGGAATTAAGGTAAGTAATAATTAAAAGTGTTGGACTGAGATTGGGTCGTGATTAAGGTTTCACTAATCTTGGGCTCATGCCCAGAAACTATAAATATAGGTCAAAAGTAAAAAGTAAGTAATCGCATTTACTGTACATTTATTACTATTGAATTGAGCTACCGAACGGATAACTTACTCACTTTAGCATCAGAGAACTTTTGGCCGGTGGATTGAAGACGAAGATTTGGATAGAAGACCAGACGATCAGAGCAAATTGTGTAGGTGTTGGAATGGATAACTTACTCACTTTAGCATCAGAGAACTTTTGGCCGGTGGATTGGAGACGAAGATTTTGATAGAAGACCGGACGATCAGAGCAAATTGTGTAGATATTGGAAGTGACTCGATCTCACAACCGAAACAGTTTAGAAAATAATTTATTTTTATGTAAAAATAAAAGAGTACACATATTTTTACTTTTAATATGCAAGAGTGATATAATTTTTTGACTCTACAAAATCAACTCTTTACGTAACTGAGGGAAAAATAAAGTACTAGCATCACTTGCTTTTTTTTATGTCTCTTTCTTTCTCAAGTGAATACCAATGACCAAAGAGAAAAATTTAACTTTTTTAGCTTATGAAAGGAATGATGAAATCTTCACACTTAAGAATCTCGTATATATGCTTTTTAACACGAGAACAGTCTCTTGTGACAGTTACGGATTTATGGTATCATGGTTGCATTTTGATAATGTCCAAAGGCATGTTTGGAAAGTTAGATAGGATGATAAATGACAAAGAATAGGAAATTTTTGGAAGTCTGCAGGGGTCATCCAGAGCCAATAGAAATGAACAAGTGAAGAATAGAACTAGAATTTGGTTGTGTCCAAGTATTCACCCAGTCATCAAACTACCAAACGCCATCTTCACTGGAGGGCAACGCAACAAAATTATTTGAGATGAGTTTGAGAACTTGGAATTTTCCTCAACCCATACTAAAATATACCTCTCAATTTCCCTCACACCTTCTAATGTCTACACTCTTTCTCACTATATATACTCACTACCTCTGCATCGCTTCTCACATTCTCACTCAGACATTTTATCATACACATTGTTCATTACGTCAACATGTTCAAATCCAAACCCTGCTTCTTCTGCCTTATGTTTCTGCTCCTCTTATTATCCACCTCTGAATCCCGTCCTCTCCAAACTCCACCTACCTTCAAAAGGTTTCCAGCTCAACTTTCAGGCAACCGAGCCCAGGCCCGTTCTAGTGTGAGCCTCGTCTTCTCCGAATTTGAAGAAAGCCCACGTAAGCCTGGGAGACTTGCCCCTGAAGGCCCAGACCCAAAGCACCATTGATCAGCTCCGGGAGTTTAGTCATTGCGGAATTGTCTTAATGTCTGGGTTGCCACTTGTTAAAGGAGAGAAATCGTTTTGTTGCTCTGCATATTTAATAATTTAAGTTTTACTAAAAAAAAATTTACACAATATGTGTAATCATTTACGGGTGCATTTAGGTATATCACATGTTTTAATAACTATAGTTTGAGTTCCTTAAGTGCTGTAAACGTATAATTTCAGTTTCTATATTGCAATCATAGTCAATTAAATTCTCAAGTCTTCTTCTAATTTACGATTACCTTTTACCATCTTGATTTCTTAATAATGGATAATCTCTTATGCATAAGACTAAATAGAATAATGTAGTAGAGGTACCACATAATACATTTAATAAACTTCATTAGAATAAGCTTTAATATTACACTATAAAGTGAATGTAAATCTAATTTATTTTCACAACAATAATTTATAAAGTAAAAAGTATCCAATATATTATAAATTAATGTTATTTCTGCTCCATGTATATCTTAACCACCTCTTTTATTGTCTACTGATTTTGGTAGCAACTATTAAGGTAATAATTAAAACATTCATTTTATTTCATAATTATTTATATATAATGATTTTTGAACGGTATATGTTTTTATAGTTTGCTAACCGCACTAAGTGCACAGGTAATAAAAATTTGAGTTTAAGTATCAAAATCTAAAATATTAATATAAGAAGATTTGAAATATGTACGATAAGTGAAAATCATAAATCACTGCACTACCAAATAATCAAACATCAATTGATTTTAATTAAAATTATATGATTTAATTATTCAGTAGGTATGTAAACAAGATTTATTGTAGATACTGAACAATATTTAAGTCAAATTCACATAATAAAAATGTAATACTATAGTATATATTATACTTATTTTTGTTATATAGTGTAGAGTTGACATTCACTGATATAAAAATAATTTTTTAAGTCTCTCAATTTAAATATA